TCATGGCTGGTCCTTGTATTGCCACAGAGATTCCTCCAGAAATTTTCATTAATATTTGTCAGGATCTTCCTCCTTCTGACCTTCTCTCCCTGGCTCAAGTTTGTAAAAAATTTTATGGTTACTTATGTTCTATTAATTCAAAACCAACTCAAGAAATCTGGCGCAATTCTCGATCTCAATTTTTGCCCTATGTTAAAATGCCTCCGCCCGATAATATGGATGAACGTCGTTATGTAAAGCTCCTTGCTGAACGCGGATGCCAATTTTGTAAGAGGCGCAGAATACGAAGAATTTATTGGGCTTTTCGTGTTCGTTGTTGCAAACCTTGTTTGAGTGAGAGAACGATGAGGTATATATATATTCTGTTCTCTATTAATAATTACTACTTGTAAATTTATATATACTTATAATATAAATATATTTATATTTATATTTACTTATTTATTTAGATTAGATCAAATTCGGCGTGATTTATTATCAAGATATTCTATACCTGATGATATTTTGCGTGGATTAACTTATACAACAGGATTTTACAAATGGGGTTGGGATCAAAGTCCAAAAAATCGTCCGGCAAATTTATATTGGCGCGATGATGTTTATCAGGTCTATAATGAATATTTAAAACTTGATCCTGATGAAAGAAAAGATTGGCTTCTTAATAAACGAAAGGAAGGTCGTCAAAAAATGGAAGATGTTGCCCAACGTGAAATCGAACATGAAAATGAATATTGGGTTAAATCTTCTGAAAATGAAAAAAAACGTGAAGAACGTGCTTCTACCATAGAATCCATGATAAAAAATGAAAGAAATGAATATGGTTTATTAAGATTTAAAATGCCTATTGTAGAACAATGTATGGTTTATAATAAGGCCATAATGTCATCATCCACACATACTTTTACTAAACGTGCATGGATTGGATTAAAAAATAAATTAATTCCTGAATATACAAAACTTGCCGCTACTCATAGAGCTCAACGACAGGCCGCCGAGAAACTTTTCTCTTATGATGTTGCAGTTCAAACTCGTCAAATGGATATACTTAAATTAATATTTGATTTACCTCACTCTGATTCTGATCAACCTGTAGCTGCAGCTATTACTACTACTGATCAAAATCAAAATGATATTAATTCTGATAATATAACACATTCTCAATTCGAAACTCATTTAATCAAATATCTTCCTTGGTGCCCGTCATTTCAAAACTTACCATTTACTGATAATGATCCTCGGAATCTTTGGGATGAGGTTTATTTGATCACAAGTTTAATTCCTCAACTTCGCGCTGAAACAATTCAACTTAAAAATAATCCAGCACCACCATTCACTCCATGTGGTGCTTTTCTTCATAGACGTTCTGGTAACAAACGCGTGTATAAATGCAAATTATGCAATAATCATCCCGAAAGAGCTGCTCGGCTTTATTCATTTTATGAAATTCGATTACATTTGATACGAAGTTCTCACAAAATCAATGTAATTAAAGATGATATGATTGAAGTTGTTTCCGAAGCCTTTGATAATGCTGAAATTGCTCAAGAAATTCCAAGAAATAAACCTGAAATCTTTTTTGCGGCAGGTTTTAACGTTAATTTGATTGTTAATTTATAAATGTTTAACAATCATTATACACTATATATTATATATATATATTATATATATAAATTATATATAAATTATATATATAGTTTCATTTTGACTTTATCTTTTATTTGATTTTATTTTTTTTATATTTTTCTTTTTTTCTTTTATATTATACCTTTGCAAAATTTTATTTACTAAGTAATCGCAGGATTTATTATTTATGCATTTTCCCACCGATATTAACACGGGACCTAAGCTTTACTTTTATTACGTTTTTCTATGGTTATCTTTTTTTTTTGTGTTTTTTTTTTCCTTGTTTAATTGCATCTATCGATTAAATTTTACCTCGCTTTTTTTCTTCGAATGAAAATTTTTTTCTTTATGCTATGTTTATTCTTCCTTTTTTTTTTTTTTGTTTCATAAGATTATAAGGTCTAAATAAGCGATATTAAAATAAAGTAATATATATACACAGTATGTATATTATAAAAAAAAAATTACAATACAGTATCGGTATGCTTAGTCTTTATTATCTTTAAAGAGTTATACACATTGGACGGACATCGCATATTCGTGTAACCGGTATGCATATTGGATTTGGAGCGAAGCAGAGGGTTCTCTATTCTTCTGTAAACTTTAATATGTCTGTCCGCCAATGTGATAATAAATCAATCACATTTTACTAATCGACCAAACCATATTTTGCAATCAAATAATATGGTTCCCGGTTCCTAGTGTAATTAGATTCCTACTGTATAAGGGTTGTTATCATCATTGAATGACAGGCCGAATATTTTCATTTAATAACGGTCGAATATTTTCATTTAATAACGGTCGAATATTTTCATTTAATAACGGTTAAATATTTTTATTGAATATCAGACCGAATATGTTTTTTTAACGGTCGAACATTTTTATTGAATAACGGGTCGAATATACTTTAATAAATGTTGTATCCCCATCATTTAATGACGGGTTTAACATACTAATTATTATTTTAATTATGTAACGGTAATTCTGTAATGTAATTGATGTTAAAGACCAATAAAAACTAGCAGATCTATAATTAACCAATGGAAGCATTAAATATTACCAATCAGCATTACAAAGATAAACAACGTGATCTTTACGTGACATTAACGTGACATTAACGTGACATTAACGTGACATTAACGTGACATTAACGTGACATTGACGTGATAGTAACGTGACACTGACGTGATAGTAACGTGACACTGACGTGTTATTGTTGTCTTACCGTTACTCAACCGTTACCCAACCGTTACCCAACAATTACCTAACGGTTACCATTAATTCCATTACTGTATGCTAATCTGACAACCAGCATCACTGAATTCGTTCTGGACAATGGGATCTTCAATAAGGATTATTTCCGTGAAGATCCGAATCATGCACGTTACACGTGAAACGCAAACCTGACGCTAATCTATAAAAACCACCACTGTCCGCCCTTTTCCGCCCTTCCCCAATCTTCCCAATCTTTCCTAAAATCACCCATCCAATTTTAGTATTGCCCAATAGTCCGCACTCTCCGGTATGACTTTTTAATTATTTAATTAAAACTAGTTATTATAAAAGACCTAAGCTAAGCTTTTAAGTCAATATTCGTTTTTTGCATTTATCCAATTTTATTATATTCGTTAATTCGTTCGTTGTACTGTTTGTAATTGTCACAAATTTTATTTAAAAAAAGTAATAATATTTATAGTAATTATTATCATAATTAACATCTTACAATAAAAATTATTGTAAACTAGATTGGTTACATTACTTTTAAATATTTTTAAATATCTAGTTGGTTACATTGCTTCTAAATTTTTTTAATAAAGTTTCTTAATTCATATTTCATTGTATTTTACTTAATTTGCTAATTTTTATTTCATACATTTCATACATTTCATACTTGGTATATTTGATTGTTTCTCCTTTTAATGTTTTTAATGGTGTTTCCTTGCACTGCGTTAAGCTTAGTACGTATTACTATGTTTCATCAAATGTGTTATTTACTAAAG